ATATATATATATATATATATATATATATAAACAATGTTTCTAAACTCAAAACGCTCTAAAAGAGCACATCATGCATGTGATGATCTCCGCTCTCTGCCACGCCCACTTCGCCACTGCAATCACAGTCGTCACCTCACAGTCTCCCTCCTTCTGTGTAAACAAACACTTTAAATTGAAATACTGATTGTTTATTTAAAATATTATAGTATTGAAATTATAAAGTGTAGAGAAGAGAAGCGCATCAGATGCAGCACCGTGCAGAAATGTACTTCTTGATCAATTAAACTGTAACAACTGAACACAAAAGTTCTAAAATAATTTAAAATAACTTTTAACACTTTTATATTTTGTGATTATGATGATTTTACGATGTGACATACTTTGAATTTGAAGTTGGAAGACAAAAATCGATTGGTGCAGCTGGACAGCAACCTTCACAAAGTCGCAGCAGGAGCAGAAATGTGGGCGTAGCAGAGAGCCGCAGGTGGCAGAGAGTGGAGATCATGACAGGTTGCAGGAGGGAGCATTTCCCTGCACCTAATGATTTAGCAAGTGCTAAATCATATAAAATAATTTATTTTAAATAAACAATCCATGCTGCTTGTGCGGCTCATCCATCAATCAGTCAGTTGTGTGTCATGTCCAGTTTTACTTTGAAAAACTGTGAAAGAGTGAGTCCGCGAAAGTCGAACCATGTTGTAGTGAGGGACTACTGTAATAGATTTAACTGACCAAATGTGCATTATAGCTGTTACAGTGTTCAGACCAAATGGTGTTGACTTTCCTCTAGAGAGCAAAATAATACTAAACCGTCCATTTATAACATCGAGCCCCATAGCATCACCTATAAAATCATATGTACAAAGCTTTACCCAATGTGCAAACATAAAGATGGCAGCTCAGTTTATTAAAAAGTTTGCTTGTTGTTTAGTTCGTGTGGCCACAGCTGCTCCCTCACAGCCAAAACCACTCAGACTTGTCCAGGATCACTTCTCCGAATGAACAGTCATCTACAAAAGTTTCATGAGGCAGTTCCAACCATCAACATATGTATCAGAAACGTTCATCAGCTAGAAAAACAGTAAAGTGGTTACTTGCCTGTAAACAGAGCGTGGTAGTGCAGACCTCTTTCCTTGTCTTGATGTGAGCACACGTCAAACAGGTAGGCCTTGATGGGCCCGTCGATGAAATCTGCAGCGAAGTCGAACAGCACAACCCCAAACATCACCACAACGATGGCCCAGATGCTCTTCAAAGACTTGTCACTCACTAGTGCTGCAAGAACAATAAAATATCTGCTCACTATGAGATTAACATACTAGAAAATGACCAGAAATTAAACCATTTTTCTTCTATACAAAAAGAATGAACACATATCCTAAATTCTGTAAGACATTGACATGTATCGTATAGTCTAAACCAGGACGTTCTTAACTTTTTAGCTGCCAAGAGACAAAATACGATAAATAAATTAAAAAAACGTAGCAGGGACGCTTGCAACTCCAACCATTAATTGGACCAAGAGCATAATAACACAAACAACATCAACAGTAATAATTTAAAACTAATTATTTTACGTCTTGCAGCAAAAAGCAATAACGTTGTGCTTGCACCACTGGTAAACTCTGGTTTGATGTTCAACAGCTCTACTAGTTTGTGATCCTCTTTGAATTCGGCCTGCTTTGGGGGGAAATCCTCTGTAATTGGTCAAATAAAGTGGTTG